ATTGAGTTTATTCGAAATAAATAAAATTGCTTATTGTTATCATTTTGTTAGTCTAAATTTTTTTTGTTTGTATTTGTAGCTACATGAATTTTTGATGTTTTACATATTTGTCACGTGATGTTCGAAACTTTTTTGGGTGGCGATTTTACCCCGGTCAATCAAAGTCGTGCGGCACCTAGGTTTAATGCATCATTTGCATGATGATCGGAAAAAAATTCTTTTTGTCCATGGGTTGTTCAGTGAACATAATAATTTTATTTAATTAATAAACTTTATTTGTAATCATTATTGTTTCAATGTAAAAAATGTACACAAAAATCATTATTATTATTATTTTGAATTTCCAGCACTGATCAGGACAAGAATAGTCATGTAGTGGCAAGTTAATCGGTATTTATATTATATGTTTGAAACTGACATCTAATAAACTAATTAACGCATACGATAATGATAAATGTTAAATGTTACAATTAGCGATTTAAAATCATACAATGTTAACATTTGATTAAAAGCTGAATATTACATTTTATAAGTGTACATTCATCAAATACAATATTTTTAAAGCTAATTCATTCATTACGATATAAAATATCATAATGCCCGGGTCTGTAGAGCAGCACCAAAGGTTTCAGATATAAAACACCTTTTGAGGCTTCTTCTGGATAAAATTCATGAAAATTGACTTGATCAAGCGCGTCGGAGCTGCTCATATATGCAATTTCAACAGGAACTTTTAAAGCTCGTGTCAATACAAGGACATGAATATGGTCGGCCTCTTTATCCATGCCTTCCACATATTTACTACAATACTTATCCATTTCCAAATCACAATCCAGAAATGGTTCGTATTCATTAAAATGTTTTTTCAAGTAGGCGGTTGTGACAAATCGAAGATACATGACTATTTGATTAGAGATACTTTCATCTTGAAAGATGGATAACAATTTGTCAATATCATATTTTCCTTCTACAATAGCTTTTAAATGTCCTTCGACTTCTTCATACATGTCTTCATAAATCAATTCTTCATACCAAAGCGGAAGAAGTTGAACTTTCGTATAAGTCAACGTTTCGAGTGCGGTTTGATGAATTGTTGGGTCTTTAGAATTTAAAAGTCGTTCGAACCACGCAAAACCAAAGGCTAGATAATACATGAATGACTAACTTATTAATTAATACATTTCTCATTTATTTCTAGTAATGCAAATATATTACCCCTATAAAAACAGCTGCCATCACCTCTGCAACGTCTTATTGTATGATGTTTCTCAGCCAATTTCTAACATGATGGCGATTGGTGATTAAAAAATAAGTTCTTGGTGATAATCATTGGCAGATGGCTTGTTGTTGACATTTGCAAAAGAATACAACAAACCATGATCTTCTGTTGATATACTTCACTACCATGCAGATATTCTTTTAATAAATTCTCAATACTTTCAGTCGAACATACGAGCGGTGTTTTTTCGGCGGTTTCTCTTCTGATGGACTCAAGATATTCTTGGTTTTTTTCAACCGTATATTCGGAATATTCATGTGCATTCGCATGATCATTTGTATGATCCTGATGTGAACTGCTTTCAGTTGACGCGTCTAAAGTTGAAGTATCAGTAGGTTGATGTTGTATGCTATCACTCATAGTTGTTTGGAAGTTGGAACCCTGTTGGACTTCCATGTCTTCAAATATTCCAATGAAAATTCCGCTGAGTATAACGTTACCAATAAAAGTGTAACCAATTAAAAATCAGTGTTGGAATATCCGAAATCCCGTGAAAAATTTCATTGGCCCAAAAATTGGGTAGGCTAAAGCCAGATAAAGTATAGGGAAAATAAAAATAGTATATAGCGTAGTATATATAATTTTATATTATACATATATCTAAAGTAGTGATTTGAATCGGTTGGGCTATAATCGGTTAATCGACCGAACTGAATAAATTTCGGTTAACCGGTTGAGGAAA